ATTTACAGAATGCCGATTTACAAAATGCCGATTTACAGAATGCCGATTTACAAAATGCCGATTTACAGAATGCCGATTTACAAAATGCCGATTTACAGAATGCCGATTTACAAAATGCCGATTTACAGAATGCCGATTTTACAAAATGCCGATTTACAGAATGCCGATTTACAAAATGCCGATTTACAGAATGCCGATTTACAGAATCTTTAAAATGATTTACGATGGATTTACTAAAATGCCGATTTACAGAATGCCGATTTACAAAATGCCGATTTACAGAATGCCGATTTACAGAATGTCGATTTTACATAATTTGGGTTCTACATCCAAAAATACAAACCGGATCCCCCATAAAAACATTATCCGACCTGGCTACATGGCGAAGTTTTACGAATTTTTTTCCGCGTAGGGATCAAGGATTACGAGGAAATCGCAAGCCTCGCGACAAGTTTCAACGCATGCCTTTTTTGCTGTTCGCCGACACTTCCAACGTGCTCAGCCCGCTGGGAGAAAACTCGACGATTCATTATTATTTCTTGGTTGTTTGATACTGTTTGATAGAAGAATTTAATTTAGTAACCCCTATGGGCGGCCCGTTGGCAGCGTGGAACTAGGGTTTCTCTGAAAAAAAGTAGTAAAGCTAGGTCTGGCGGTTTCGCCCATAGCCAAGTCGGATAATGTTTTTCTGAGGTTCGGTTTTGTATTTTTTGGATGTAGAACCCAAATTATGCAAAATCGGCATTCTGTAAATCCGGCATTCTGTAAATCGACATTCTGTAAATCGGCAGTCTATAAATCGGCATTATCAGCCTATACCCTGTGGCTCCTCCTGACTCCCCATAAAAACACAGTACAGAAGAACAAAATTTATTCATAGACAATCGGTCAACAATTTATTGCTGAAATTTGAGATTTTCGTGAATACCCATAGCTAAATAGTAGACTGGTACAATGACTGAAAGAGACGGGAAAGCAGCATTAACTTCACTGAAAAGCTGATGGTGGACAATGGCTTTTCTGCCACGTTGCATTTTTTATAAATTGCAAAGATTTCTATTAAAATAACTTATTGAAAGAACTTTATCGAAGCAACATTGAACGTCTTAGGATTCGCCGTCCGAGTTTCCTAAACATTTTCAGGTTCTTTAGGATTCGCGGGGAACCAAGTTTTTTTCGGCACAAGCCTAGATTTTTTCATAAATTGCGGATGCGTTTCTAAATTGTTTTTAACTATTCCTGAGCATAAAAACTACAAACATTTTAACCAAAAAAAAAATTAAAAAAATAAAAATTAGGTCGAACAGTCCTATAGAACCTTTAGGATTCGCGGGGGGGAAAGACGCAAATTGACCAAATTTTCGACTTTTTCAAACATTTTTCTAAATTTTTCTGAAAGTTATTCTGCTTTAAATATAGTTAAAACTTACTAAAAACAATTCGAAAACACTTTATATTTGATTACGAGGTCAACCGGGACTACCAGGAAAAAAATTGGTTGACCATGAAAAAGAAAAAAAACCTTGACTATGACGGAGAACGATGTTCCCAATTCCTAAGATGCGCGCGTATTTCTGTTCCCCAGACGAATCCAGACATTCTTGAATGGTCGGATTGACACTTAATCGAGATGTGCCGCCGAGCAATAGTCCTGCTAATCTTCCGGAGTCATTGAAGACTGGAGCGCCCGAGTAGCCTCGTTTCGAACTAGCAGTTCCGACTAAACAAAAAAATTTATGACAATTAACTCATTGATTAAAATAATGATAATTATTCTTACCTAGATGAACAAAATCGTCCATATATCCTTCGATGGTTCCTTTTGTGATAGTCGGATTAGAAGAATCGACGCCGTTCGGATAGCCCTGAAATAAAATTGTTTAATATGTAATAAATAGGCCGATATTTCGTAAAAACGTTCCGTCGGCTACAATAAAACTAAAAATATCATACCATCATGAAGTATTTAGCGCCTCGTCCCAGACTGCCCATTGACAACTCCAGGATCGGAAAATCATTTGACTGCAGGATGGCGAAATCGAGATGTTTGCAAATGAAAACGCAAGTGACAGAAAACTCTTGATTTCCATCTCCTTTAATTTTGTACGATTGATCAAGCTTGAAGGATAGATGCGCAACGGTTAAAGCATGACGCTCATTGATTAAAACACATGTTCCTGTCAACTTGTTGCCAGCAATGCGAAACACTCGGCTATCCCAAGAGTCCTTGATTGATGTGATCCCTAAACAATAGTTTTTATTAAAGGCACCCCACGACCGTCGACTTCATTTCTAAGTACACTATGACTTTTTGCGGCCGCCGCGAGAGAGAGACAAAAGGGCATAAAAGAGACGAATGAAGTCCGAGATAGCTTTTACAAGGCGCACATGAACTTTAAAATAAAGTGAAATATAAAGTGAAATTTACATTTTCCGAAAGCGTATCAAGAGAGCTATCAACTGTAGATATAAGCCAGTATTCTTACGAAATAAGTGGTCACTGGGTGTCTTTAAGTACATATTTATTTAATAAAAAATATTATTTGTTTTTTTGGTTTTGATTGCCCTTCCTTGAGTTTCTCTCCCTTCCATCTGGGGGAAAAAGTTTGTTGAGGTGTTATGTTTAATTAATAATTTATATTTTAATGAATGTGTTTTAAAAAAAAAAATTTTTTATTTTTTATTTTTTATTTTTTATAATTTTTATTTTTGTATATTTATAAAAAAAATCTTTTTAATTTTGTTTTGTTTTTTGTTGGTGGGCGGGAAAAAAAAAAAAAATTAAAAAAGGGAGGGTTTTTTTTTTTTTTTTTGTGGGGTTGGGAAAAAATTTTTATTTTTTTTTTTTGTTGGGGGGGGGGGGGAGGGGAGGCCAGGGTTGAAAACATAACATACTGTTCGCTTTCTCCACTTCAAACGGACTCAGTGGGCGTTCTAAATGATAATTCAATTATATATGAAAATTCCATTATACATTAAAGTTACCTTGAATGTCCATTGACGTCGTTGGTCGAGACGGAACCCTGTCCGATTGTGCGAAAAACTGCATAGTCGACCAGCCATCCGGAAGCAAAAATGTTGTGCCAGTTTCATTCATTCTAAATTAATTGCCTTTTATTTTTTTTTTTTTTTTTTTTTTTTTTTTTTTTTTTTTTTTTTTTTTTTTCCTTTTTTTTTTTTTTTTTTTTTTTTTTTTTTTTTTTTTTTTTAAATTTTTTTTTTTTTTTTTTTTTATTTTTTTTTTTATTTTTTTTTTTTTTTATTATTTTTTTTTATAATCAAGAGTAACACAAAATGTAACTTACCCGCAATTAATCTGCATGCCATTGGACTCAAACGACAACGCCACAATTGCATCTGACGGAAGAAGAAAAGCGTGTCTGATAGAGCTTTCGGTGATGATATTTCCAGACAATGCTACGTTCTTTTCCTTGTCCCTCATATTGATTCGAATTGACTGCGCCATTATGAGAAGAAAATAAATCTGAAAAACAATTAATTAATTTGATAGTCAGCTCCTAGAAGAATAGCAAAACATCGAATGGAAGAGAACGGAGAACTCACCCAACCGTCTCCCATATATGAATGGGGGAACGCTAGTCCAACGCGTCTGCGTGTTGCGCATGGGCGTTCAGAGCGTGCGTGGGGGAGGGGGCGCGGCGTGGCCGAGTGGTCTGAGGCGCCGGTATGAGCCACAGTCTGAGGGTGCGGGTTCGATTCCCCACCCTCAAGAGAGCGCGTTAAAGAAATGGGGGAAGGTTATATTTTATTTAGTGGGGGGTGGGGGGTTGTTTGTGTGGGGATAGTGGATTGAGGGTTATTCGTTTGGTAGGTGTTGGTTCATGGGGTGTTGTGGGATGCCGACGGCATAGTCAATCGGTTACGCGCTGGAAAGAAAATGCCTCTGCGCCTCTCCCCTGGGCGCGCTCTCTCCCCTGTTGGCTACTTGCCAATTTGTTGAAGGGGGGATCGACACCTGCCGTCGGCAGCCACCTTTTGCTTTTTGCGCCAAAAGCCCGGAAAAGTCCCAATAGATGATTTATGGCGCATAGTATGCGAAAAATTAATAAATTAAAAGCTTGCCGGAATCGCGACAACAAATTTTAGCCTCCCAGGACCAAAAAAGTGGCTTATTTAACATTGTCAATGCTTTCCCAAGCAAATTCAGTGAAAAAACCACAAAGAATGAGCCTAAATTCAAATAAAAACGCTTCGCACAAAGGACTGAATTTGACACTTTTTTTTGAGCTAAAAAGCTATAGAAGTCCTTATTTCTGCTGTAGATCGGCCTGAGACCTGTTCCATAGCATAGCCCAGACTCTTCTCTACATTCATGGAGCAGCGCTCCCGATTCACATGACGTTTTCAAAAGTTATAGCGATTTGAAGTTCCAAATTTTTGACCATTTTTCGGCCCTTGCTATGGGGAGATCATGGATCGTGGAGCGTGCACAGTACACGCGTGGCCATTGGAGTGCCCTGGAGCCGCCCCTCCTCTCACAGGCGCTTTCCCTGTCCGCTGTTCCTCTGGCTTCTCCTGTCATGTATCAGCCACCGGAGAAGAGCGGCTATTTTGGGGGGGTGCTGTGGCTCCTCCTGACTGGCCCCCCATGCAGTCCAGGGGTGGGTGTCTCGTATGGCGCTCCTAATTATGCTCGAAGGGCTGGAGGACGAGGCCGAGTCGCGGCACACACAGCTCTCAGCACACCGCAAAAAGATACTCTCGGCGCTGGGGGTCTAAAATAACCGGAAGTCCCGCGTTCCTTGCCCAGCTAGCTATGTGTATTTGTCGCGGCGATCACGTGCCTTATCGGGGAGTGTTTTTAGGGGCGTATGGTTGGCTTTTGGGGGGAGCTGCTGCTCATATGGCTGTTGGTAGGGATCAGGTTTCTGCTGGCGTGGTTGAGGGCCATTTTTGGATGGAGAGTTGGATGACCGGGGTCTTGGTTAGTTAGTGCGTGCTTGGTAAAGCCAGGCGCGTGGGCATATTTTCCCAAATAATACTTTTCGAAAGTTTGGAAGCAATTTCTTCAGCCTGCGCCCCGACTCAACGACTCGATCGAGCCTAAAATTCTGGGTTCTTTCGCATTATCGGGGGGGACCGATTCTTTCTACAAACCTAGAAGTGCATAATAGCGTCTAAGTTAGTATTTTAATCGTGTTTTTAGTAAAATTAACTGTATGTAAAATGCAAACTATCATAAAATTTTTGGATTTCGACATTTTGGTCGAATACTCGCTATTTTCTGGATTTTATAGCTAAAATTTGTGAAGTTTTTGCCTTTGACAACAATACACAGTTGAGAAACATTTCCACCTTTTTTATTAGCAACATAGGATGCTAAAGGAAAATCGCCACCCCCCCCCCCGATAATGCGAAAGAACCAAATTTTGTAAAGATTTCCCTTTAAAGGGCCGGCTTAAAGTAGTAGTAAGTTTTTTAACTCCTAGCATCCTCAAAAATTCCTTGAGTACCTACACTTTAGAAAAAACTTTAGGAGAATGATTTTTCGCCAATCTTCTTTTCAGAAATCGAATTTCGGCCACTGAAATCTTCGCGGCGCACGAGTTGCCGTCACCAAAGTCGAATTTCCCCCGCTCAATGGATTTTCGGCTTGATTGGCCGTCCGAGATCAACGTCTAAAACGCTGTTCGCTTTTCCTGGCTATCCGACAGCCATGAGGATTAGATTACGGGCGGCGCAGTATTTTTGCACCCCCGAAAAGTCATCAAAACAGGTTCCCGGAAGAACCGCAAAGAACCAAAAAACGGGCTTGGTGAGAGCCGTATGAGCCGATTTGCCTCGCAAACGCGCACATTTGGCGCCGTCCAAGGGATAATTGCCGGGGGTGGCCCATTTAGGATGGGCTTTTCTGGCACAATGGCCCACACAACTTGGCTCGCAGCTTTTTAAAGGGATTGGCAAGGGCGGCAGTTAGGACGTAACGGTCCCGTATTTACATCTTGATTTTGTGCCATCGCTGCAGGGATTTTTGAGATTTTCTCTCTGTTTGGGACCATTACCATGCAATTTTACGCGTAGAATACAACCTAGTGCTAAATTTACTTAAATTAACAAAATTTAGGTTCTAAATTCCAAATTTTGGTGAATTTCAAGCCTGGGCTAAATTGTTTGTTCGTTGAAAACGTTTTAATTCTGAAAATAGGGTTTTACAGATTTAGAGCGCTAAAGGATAGATTTTCGAGTTTCTAAATGATCGAAACACTTTAAAATTGGTCGAAAATTGGGAACCTTTTATCGAAAAATCGATTTTTTGCATCTTAATGAAAATTTGTAGTTTTAAGTTTAGAAAAGTAATAAACCTGTGAGAAGACCCTCTATTTATCTTTGAAAAAATGGGATCCTTAGAAAAGTTGGTCCCCCGATAATGCCAAAGAACCGAACATTTCCCAAAATCATAAATCACCGGCCCGAACTCCATGGCGTTCCGGATTTCGCTCGATTCCCTCATTTTTTCACGCCTCCGTCCCGAGCCTATTTTCACCCGGCCGTCAATACGTTATTTTTGCGGAGTGGAGGACACCTTATAGGGGTTGGGGTATGCTGGCTAATTGGATACATCTCCCGCGAGAGCCCCATCCATGCCCAACCCCCACACAACTCTCCACGCCTTTTTTTCAGGCTCACGCTCGCGGGGATTCATAAAAGCAGCAGGGCGAGCAGGCAGCCGCACTTTTTTTGGGGGGAGCACTAGCTTTTGAGCATGGGATAGAGCCGGGGGAGGGGTTTTCACGTGTTTTAGGGGTCTATGTTTTGGTCAGAGGAGCGGATAGGCAATTTTTGTAGCGTAGGGAGCACGAGTACTTTTTAGAAAACCGAACTACAACGTATCGCTCAAACTAAAAAAATCTGCTTTTGACCTATAATTGAAAAACTAATGTGAGAATGGTAGGAAATATTTTTCGTTAGCTTTTTTGAGGTAAAAATATTCATTTGCCAGCTCTTTGGAATTCATTTACCCTATTTTCGTGGATTGTTGTTTTCTAAATTTATTTTTACCGATAAAAATTGGAATTTTCGTTAAAATAAGATAAAAGTATTTTATTTAGCCCTATAAAATTGTGCTGCCTTTAAAAACCCACGTTGCTTGCGCTTTTCACCAAGATTTTTAACACGAAAAGAAAATGTTGAGAACGCACAGGTTGCGAGTATACAATGTACCGGCGCGTCTTCAAGGCCCGACTACGTGCCGATACCCCGCGCAGTTTACTCTATGCAGGCGTTGCACTTTCTAGATTTGACTGGGTTTTGGATCGACGATGATTTTCGATCAATCGAATCTGGTTTTCGGTACTTCTCTTTTAACGGGGGTGGGGGCGGCAATTTTATGCATTTACCCTAGTAATCTCGTACGGCTCTATAATTTACTCCCCCCGTTAAGCTGGCAGAACCGGTTTTTCAATCCCTAAAACCCCCCAAAATCAAGCGCCCGAAAAAGCGTTTATGCTTTTGATGTGTTGTTTGTGTGTGGGTGCTGAAACAATAGAATCGAGGGGGGCTAGAGGGTGTGTGTGGGCCTGACACTCGCCTAATTGCGGGCCCATGTGGCCCGTGGAGGCCCTCAACCACCGCGCCACCCACCCTTCGCCACAACGCTCTTTTTTTGCGCCCTTCGACGGCGTGGGGAGCACGATTTAGGGTGGGGAGGAGGAGGAGGGGCCAGTCCAGGAGGGCCACCCTTCATTAGGCGCTTCACCTTCAAGGCGCTTTGATTCCCTCCCACGCCTCGAGGCGGGGACAGCCCATTCTCGAGATTGTCTGGAGGTGCGTTGCGTCTTCTGTGAAAGATCTGATTCAATTTTTGGATGCCATAACCATTCTTACGTCATCTTTACCCTTTTTTAGCATGGTTTATGATCGCTGGAACTGCTGGAAGGCAATTTATTTAGTTTACCTTTATAGTTTTCTTAAAGCGACTGAAACTTTCCAAGTGCGCATAACATTCGGGTGCCAATTGGAGCCAGACGTAGTCATACACGACGCTCCAATCGACGCACTAGTTTCCGCTATGCTTTGAAAGCTTTTTATTTCGGCGTTTTCAGCTTCCGATTTTTTTTCCGGGAAAATACCATAATTTTCAAGCTTATTTTTATCTGACCGACCGGTGATGATCATTGTTTCTCGTTTGATGATCTCCAAGGGCCAAGTGCTGTTGTGTAGTCTTGTTTGATCAGGAGGTTGCCCTCGTCCTCCCGACCCATCTCGCCCTCCTCCTCCTCAATGCATTTGTGCTGAATGCGTGACCCATCCCCATTAATTCTGCACCACCACCGCCCTTCACCTAGTGCACCACGTTTTTTGTGCTATTTTTTTTGAGTCACCTGCTAAACACGCATTCTAGAAATTGAGCCTTTTGTCGTCCAAAATGCGGTAAAGATTCTGCGCTTTCGAATCTTGAAAAATATAATTTAGGTGCTATTTCGGGCGTTAGCAAAAATCCCGAAAGCCAAAATCCCGATGCGAAATAGCTGTTTACAAGGAAAGGGCATTCAAACCTGGCGTCGACGATCTGTCGGTATTATCCCTTTCGTGGTTTTGGCCTGTCGGGACCTTGGCTGGCGGGATTTCAGATGTCGGGATTTCAGTCCTCCGAATCTTGGCTATCGGGATTTAGGTTGTTCTTATTTTGCCTGTCGGAATCTTGGTTGTCGGTATTATGTTTGCCGGGATTACGGATGGCGGAATTTTGGTTGTCGGGATTTTCGCTGCCTTATGACAGTCGGTATTACGGTGGTCGGGATTTTGGACTATTAGGATTATGGTTTTCTGGATTTTCGCTGTCGGGATTGTGTGTCTAGGGATTCTGGATTCCGGTATTATAGCTGAAGTTCCCTTTTCCATCGTTCGCCAAACGCAAATTTTTCTAAATCTTGATTTCGGACAAGTTATTTTCTAAAAAAAAGTGTCTTTTAGGAAGTATGATTTTCGAAAATAAGCATGAAAATCCCAAAAAATCCTTCCTAATTTTATAAAGCGACCCGGGGCTAATGCTGCAGCCGCTCGTCCTCACAGCTCCACAAATGAGATCGTTGGGGGGAATGGTGGGTGTGTGTGTGGCTTTGGGATTGATGGCCGCCACTTCCATCCCAATTTCGCATTTTCACACCAGACCAGCTCGCAGCACGGCTTCGCCATGCCGATCTGGGCCTCTTTTTTTGCGGATACATTGATTTCGGGGCAAGGGAAGAGGGTACTGGACTGTTAGCGGGGGGGGGGCAAGTAGCCGGCACCGTCCTATAACTGAATATAAAACATTTTTATAGCGGTTTACACCGTTTTTTTATATAAAAGTGGTAAAACGTATAACAATGTTGAAATATTTTGACACTTGACTCCAAAAATACATGAAAAACGGCCAAAAAGTAAAAATTTTGGATTTTTCAACATTTGTGATGGCTTTATAGCAATCAAAAACTACTAAAACACTATAAAAATAGATTCGACTGTCAACAGTATGATCGATAGGTGGAAAAACAAATATTATTCCCCCCCCGCTATCAGTCCAGTACCAGGAAACGCTGAAAAAGATTGATCAAACCACGTGCGAAGGCTCAAATATTTTTTTTGAAGTTTTCAAAACTTCACGTAGCCAACTTTCCCGAAATAATTATGAGTTTCGCGCGAAAAGGCGCGCCATTTTTGTAGTCGTCCCAAGGAAAAACCCCCCAAAACCAAAAAAGAAGAGTTAGCGCCGGGGAAAGATGCTGCCAGGATACGGGCCCTAATTTATAGACTCTCACCCAGCCGGGGGGAGCTTTTCTCCTGGATTCTCGACTACCGGAATTCATCTATCAGTCGGGTTTTAATTAAGTTATAGGCTCTTTTGCGTTATCGGGGGGACCAACTTTCTTCTAAATATCCAATTTCTCTAACATAAGTTCAAGAATTGTTTCTAAATTGTTTTTTTCTACTGTTATTATAAAATTTTATTCAAAATATCTAAAAATATCGATTTTCGACCAAAATTAGCAAATTGAAACTTTAATTTTTATTGTTGTTCCGCTTAAAATACAGCTCAACTTTACTAAAAACAGATTGGAAAGACTACTGGTTACAATGATACTACGCATTTCTGGACTTATAGGATAAAATCCCCCACCTCCGATAATGCGAAAGAACCTGAAATCTTTTTCTTCAGTTTCTTCATTGATTCTTTCTCTACTTTTGCTTGTTCCATATTTTCTATCTTTCTATCGAATATAGTTCTCGAATCAACTCCGGAAATTCCAGGTACAATGTCGGACTCAGCCGGACTCACTCTCTTCCACCACGTCCGCGGCAATCAGCTCATCAAACAGGTAACATTTTTTAGAGGATAATTTATGTCATTAATCGCGCGCATTGAATTTGACAAGGCCCCAAAAGCGTCAAATTTGCCTCCGTAGCAGCGTCAATAAAAAAATAGGTACTGGGCTGTTAGGGGGGGGGGGGTTCGGGCGCGAAAGCAATTTTTCCAATAATTTCATATGGCCCTATGACCAATACATAATATTTTACACAGCACTTTTTGCCCAAAATTGCATGAAAAGTCGCCAAAAACGGCTAAAATTTTCAAATTTTAAACTTTTTAAGACCAATTTATTCCTTTCTAACAGCCAAAAACTACTAAAAACACTCTAAAATCGATTATGTGTTATCAACAGGTTGGCGCAAAAATAAAGATTAGCTTTCCCGCTGAAATCCCCTCCCCCCGTTAAAAGTCGAGTACCAAAAAAACGCCACCCACTTATCCCCCAGCACGAAAAACCCGAGTCATTTGGGTTGGGCTCTAGTGAGGGGGGTGAGGACCAAAATGGGAGGCGCCCCAAACGCGATTAAAAGTCATTTGGAACTGGATACCTCTGTGAAAGGGATGGGCCAGCCCTTCGACGTTTCCTCATTTTCCACCGGAAGTCCACCCCTTCCGCCCTCATTTTTCCTTTTCATTTTTTCCTCTTCCCCTCCGGCTTATGGCCGGCTAGACTCGCGGCTACATTTCAGTTTCCGTTTTTCTGACCGGGTATTTCGGATTTATAATTCTGTTATTTACGGTCTGTGAAAAATGCGATTGTTATCCCAGCCGCCCTGGGGAAAGTGTTTTTTTTGTGGGGGATCCTGGGTTTAAATGGAAAATGGACGTGGATATGGAAAAACGGAAATGGGGGTTTTGGTAGTAGATTTATACGGTACTGGACTGTTAGCGGGGAAACTAATTGTTGTTTATAGTTTTTTTCAGTAGTTTTTGATGCTAGAAAACTCAAAATTTTTGAAAAATTTTCGAAAATTCGAAAATTGCTATTTTTTTTGACCATGTTTCAGACAGTTTTGACGAAAAATCGACACTTTTCGAAAACTTTTGTGTTTTTTATCAGTTTTTCTATTGAAAAGCGCTGTAAAATGCTATAAAAACGACTTTAAAACCTTTATTTTACGGAATTTTTCAATAAAAATTTGTAAATTCCGTACGCCTGGGAATATGACACTCTGGCCTGGAACACTGCCTCCCCCGATAACGCCAAAGCACCCAAGGATCTAATTTTAAGCCCAAAAACCCTCCTGAATATATGGCGGCCATTCGTTTGGTAGAGCAGAACGAGCCCCCTGGGGAGCATCAGATCACATTTAGAGTCGTTCCCCCTCCCCGCCTCTTTTTGCTTTTTGATGCGAGTTTGAAGTGGGTGGGTAGAGGCGATCGGATGGGATAATATTCTGACTTTTCCTTCAAACTATTCATGGATCTTGATCTATTTGCTGGGCGGATATTCGGGCTTGAGCGAGTGAGTCCGCACATTACGGGACCTGTCTGTTAGCGGGGGGAGGATAATGTTGGTCTATCGCCTCGCAGATTCACAATAATAAAATATACACCATTTATACAGCTTTTTAAAGGGATGCCCAACCTTTTCGGAGCTCAAAAAGCAAAAACGCGGGCCGCGGGCGGGGGTCGAACCCGGGACCCCCGTTTTGTAGGCCTGGATACTATCCACTAGGCCATAGTGGAAAGCCATTGGGTGGGAGGGGGACGCCACAAGAGGGAAAGGTGGCCGAATTCTGTGCGGCAATCGGCGCCCATTGGCGCACAAAATTCGCGCCTCATTTGTACTTGCCGGAATACAAAACTATATATTTGCCTCCAAAACCATGGGAGTCCCTTTAAGCCGTTCTCAAGTATAGCAATTTCATAAAAAATGTTTTACCACCTCCAAAAACTAATTTTTGATCAGATATTTATGTAAACGGTCAAGAAGTTCGAAGTTTTTCAATATTTTACCTTTTTAGTAATCGGAAACTACAAAAACACTATAAAAATTTGTTTTTGTCGGATTATTACGTAGTTTAGGATGAATAAAGGTTTCTCGGGTGCCTGAAAAAGTCCTTGCCGGAGCCCCCTGTTCCCCTGGTAGATGATGGCAACACTTGATGGTCATCCGATCCGTTTGCACGCATCCTTACTTATTCATCGGCAATCAAATATTCCCACCGCAGCGCCATTTCCCATTTCCCTCCTCAAGCCGATCAGCTTTTGGCACGAATGCCCAATTTCCGTAGTTCTTTGAGGCGGGCTGGCTTGCAGATATTTTTGTGAAGTCTCTCGTTGCTCCCAACTTTCGAACTTTTTGGGAAAAGCGCATGAGCAAGAGCCTGACGAGGGCCCCCAATTTGGGTCCCAGCGCATTCCCTTGAGATGCCGCCAGGCACGTCCGAAAATTATCAAATCAGACGCTCCTCCAGAATTCTTCTGCTTTTCCCGACACGCGAGGGTGTAGTGCGCGTTTTGAGGATTTCTTGATTTTCACGTCTTTCTTTTTTCACCAAGCTCTAAACCTCTAATACAAAAACCTGAAGGAATCCCGCTAAAATGTTAGTGGGTGTTACGGTGGTCGGGCCTGCGTTGGGCGTCAATTGTCGCGATACGGACAAGGTGGGCAGAAAATGGATAAAATTAATAAAAACTCAAACTTTGTATTAATTTATTGTTAACATTAAATTTTCAGAACGAAGAAGGAGAAGCGCAAACGATCCACCCCAACAAGGAACAGCTGTCCCGTCGCCACGCCATAATCCCAGCGCCGGTAAGAGAATCTTACGGCTAAAAATTAACTTATTAAAACCGCTACAGCCCGAGGAACATCAATCGTAAGTTGGTGTATCGTGTCGTAAAAAATTCGTCGTGTTGAAACCGTCTTAAAATTAAAGAATCATATAAAAACTTTCGCGAGCCGGCAGTTACCCCTCCCTCGCCGAGCCCAAACTTTTATATCTCGACTGCCTGAGCATCTACAGGTGAGTAAAGTATACCAAAATGTTCCTCTTCATCCGACCATTATTTTGGTATACCTTACATCCCTGTGGTACGCTGGGGAGCCGAGATACAGTAGATCAGGCTCCGGTGGGGGCGGGGTATCTGTAGTTTTGAGAACATTTGTAAAAAATTCTCTGTTTTAGCTCGGCTACCGATGGGTGTTGCTCGAAGGACAATGTCATCATCGTGCCTCACGTCAAGATTTCGCCAAATGAGTCCCATCTCTACAATAGAGCCATCAGTTCTGGGGGCGGGATGCTGGCTGGTGGGTGCTTTTGTGCTTTTTTAGGTACTGTTCCGTTAGCGGGGGTAGGGAATTTACTATGTTTGCGCCTTTTATGTTTTTTCGAATATGGCATTCTATAAAATCACCAAACTTTTCGAAATTTTTTAGTTTTTTGGCGAGAAATTGATGAAAAATCATCAATTTTCGCTCTAAAAAATGTTTTAATATGGATTTTCATAACCGGAAACCATGAAAAACACTATAAAATCGTCTGCTTCATTAATATGGAGGTTATTAAAGGAACTTAACCCAGCCTCCCCCCCCCGCTAACAAACCATTGCCATTTTTCGATACTTTTGTTTTAGACCTCCAACGTGCCACCATTGCCGCCCAGGCTTTCTACGCCGAAAACAGCAACGAGCACGCAAAGACGCGATCAACCTGGATTCTCAAAAGATTGGTAGATGATCTATGAACTTCACCATCACCCCCCTAAATTTAGTATGAATGGTCCCATCGCGCCAAAAGACGCGAGATCATCAAACACGTGCAGTCGGCCCTCGGCGCGAGTGTTGAGCATGAATTTGAGGATGAGCAGCTCGAAAAACTGCTGGTATGCTCTGGGTACTAAATTAAACATGGTAGATGTTTTAGGGAGTCACCTGGGATGAACTGTTCGAGCGTCCGGAAGGCATCCCGAAGCATCAATACAAATATCTACAGGCTGTCTGGGAGCTTTTCCACTCGGAACTCAAATTTCTGCATCGTCAGCTGTTGGTGTTGAGGTGGGCCTTACATTTTTACATATAGAAAATTTCATAAAAATTATCGCCCGTTTCAAAACGCTACTTTTGGCCAAAAAATTTTTGGAAACGGTCAAAAACTTTAAATTTACAACTTCCTAAACTATTTTTATGACTTTTTGGTAATGAAAAATTTCTAAGAACTGTAAAAACCCATTAGCTAAGATTTTTTCCAAGTAGTCTAGCTAAGATAGCCCCCCGCTAACGGTTAAGATCCAGAATTTGCACAAACCAACTTCTAGAAATGTCTACAAAGAGCCGCTGAAGAAATGCCAAGTGGAGGGTTGTCTCCTTACCGTGGAGCCTGATCTTCTATTTGGTAAGTTGATCGTTAAATTCGAGAAACATTCGCTATAACGTTAAAAAACTATTTTAATTTTTAGAATGCGAAAACTATGACGTTTTGCGCGTGTTTTCATATATTTTTGACGAAAAGTGATCTTTTTAGATTTAAAAAATGGTATAGGGCCGTATGGAAACACAGGAAAAGACAACTGCCCCCCCCCCGTTAAGCGCAAAGAACCGTACCATCTTCAGGAAATCTGGACCAACTATGCCGGATCTCACGCGGCTTCTGCCAAACGTTCCTCTCCCTCCTGCACTCAAATCCACCCAACGAAGACTACGACTGCACCGATTTGACTGTACAGCTCTTCGAAAAGGTACAAAACTTACCCAAATACACCTAAAATTACCGTTTTTTTCCAGTTTTCCAAGGGCCCGTCGACGATCTCAGCATATCAAGCGTATTGTATCAACTACCGCGCCACGATGGAATATCTGGGCACAATTCGCCAGAAGGAGGAGCGATTCAGCGAGTTCGAGAGGGTAAACTTCAGAATTCCTGTGACAAAGCGGTTCTGGTTCGTTAGTGGGGGAGACCCCATGCTCAAATAAAATCCATTTTAATAGTATGACGTCGTTTTTAGATATCAAACGTTTTAAAAATCAATCAAGGTAAAAATTTTTAAAATTGACTTTTCACAAGACTTTTAGTAATTTGAAGCTGGTAAAAAAAACAGCGATTAAGAAGAAAAAGCGCAAGAAAAAAAAGATCAAGAAAGGACGTTTGCTGCCCCAACCACCCCCGCTAACGAGCCAGAACGGTCCAGCAAGGGTTGCTTTGGAAATGCTGAATCTTCATAATGTCGTAGTTTCATAATGCCGAAATGACATGAGCAAATCTCGTGGAAAAATTCCAAATTCTATGCAAAAAGTTTCGAAAATAGAAATTTCGGTATTCTGAAATTTCAACATTACGATTTTCGACATTTAGCAACTCTCATAGCGATCTTTAGATCTGTCTATTGGACGAGCGGTGTTTCCGCCTGCAGCTTGAAGACCTCTTAATTGCACCGCTTCAAAGAATCACCAGGCTGCCCATCCTACTCAAAGTATCCTTGTGATTTCAAGGCCCAAATCACACAAAAATCCCAGGAAATCTACCGGCACACCGCCAGCGACGAGGGGAAGGAGAAGCTCGAAAAAGTGATCGAGGGCATGAATGAGAATCTACGATCGATCGATGATTCTGTACAATGGTTGCACAACTTTGAAAGACTACAACAACTACAGACACAAGTTCGTCATTCACTATCTTATCTCTAACTTCTTTTTAGGTAGTTTGGCCGTCAATTATGGAACTCGAGCCCCGAACTTTTGTGCCAGACGTAAGACAAAACCTAAAAAATAAACATTTTTTATAGTTCCTAAAAGTCGCGCTATCCAGGCAGTTTTGCGAAAACCTGCTGGCCCACCCGAGAAGAAAACTGATCCACGAAGGGCCCCTCGAATTAGTTGGTAAGGACGAAAAATATTCGAAAAAGTTGGCTAGAAAATGGGCGAACACTTGATGTCTACGCCTTCCTCTTCAATGACATGTTTTTGTTGACCAAGACGAAAAAGTGCGCCAGTAAGATAAAGATGGTAAGCTCTTTACGACCGAAAATCCACAAAAATCCGGTTTTTAGAAAGGGTCTTCGATTGGCAAGAGTGAGCACTACATTGTGCAAAAGCAGCCTGTTCCACTCGATTCTTGCGTGTTCTGTGATGCCGATTCGAATGAAGCAGCTTCATCCAGTATCGTAGTAGCAAATCAATATCCATTAACTTTCAGTGTCGGCTCTTCGATTCGCATTCGTCATCATTCATTTGACGCGTTATTACCAGGTGGTCTCGATCTCGACACTCCAGGCTTTGGATAAGCATGATAAGGTATGAAAGGCCGGCAATTGACCGTTAGCGGGGGGGGCTAAATTTTGTATTTTGGTAATTAAAACGGTGCTAGAAAGTTGCCAAAGAATTCTGAACATTTAAGATGTATTGCTCATTTTTCACCAAAAATTGAAAAACGTCTAACTTTGTATAATTTTTCATGAGCTTTTTATATCTAAAACTGTGCGATAAAAATGGTTCATATATTGTTCCACTGTCCTACAGGATTTCTGGAATTCGGTTTGCCCCCCCTGCTAACAGTTCAGTACCAAAAATACTAACAATTTTTGCTAGGCAGATAGCCCACCCCCGTTAATAGTCCAATACCGCTCGGGCTAACACATAACTTTAGGAGCGTTGGATCGAGAAATTCCAAGAATCGATCGAAAACTACGAGTCGATTCAGCTGAAGGATATGCTGAAATGCACGCCGCTCTTCTCGTCGTTATCGCTTCGACGGTAGGTGTATAGAAATAATTCTTCGATAACTCTCATAAATCCATTATCAAAATTACAAAAATATCGTCCGAAATTACCCAATTCAGCAACACTTTTCACTGCCATAAAGAGCTGGTGGATGAGTAAGTGCGACTCGTTCAACCTATCCCCCGTTTTATTCTTTAGTCACCCCAACCCACAAACCCTTTACGTTGCCATAGTTGCAAAAAAACATTACAAAAAGCTTGCTACGGCTTCCGGCCAATTCTCAAGAAAGAAAGAAAACTAGGAAATGCTTTCCAGTTGCTCGAGCTCCCGGCTGATGCGACGAGACGGCTCGAAGGACGTCGTCGCACCACCTGCAATACCCGAAGAGAAGAAGGAAAAGCAAACCCCAAATGAGCACCAGTGTTAAATTGTTTAAAGATAAAGATATTGAGCACGGGTTGCTTTGAGAATGCATTATCCATATTCACGGTGATTCCGCATTATCGGGGAGGAACAACCCTTTTCTAAGGATCCAATTTTTAATATAAAAAGCGAACGTGTTTTTACTATCCCTAAACGTAAAAACTCTAGAAATTCTTACTAATGCAAGGGTTGAAAAGCCGCTTCGCGACTTTTCAACCCTGGCCCTGTCTGATCCCATGAAATTCTTCACTTTACATCATTTTCCCGAATTCAGATGGCAAAAAAATGAAAACGCGGCCTCTCTCCCATTAAATAGGCTATCATCACTTCCGGTGTATGTTAATTGTTTCCTAACAAAGAGGGTGTCCGAAATTTTTACAAAAACTTAAATTTAACGTTGAAAATAGCTGATTTTGTAAAATCTTATAAGTGTGCAGTCATCTCCACTCCATTGCGCACCTAATGACGTATCAAACATACCCCTAACTACCCCCCTTATTGAGATACTACTGGAACACGCTGACGGAAGTTGCATGCAAAGTGGCACACACACACACACAAACACTATTTTTTTTTATACACGTATAGTAGGATAATACAAAAAATCTAATTCCCGAGCAAAAAGTCCGATTTTCGACCAAAAATTTTTCAAAAACAAAAACTTCAAACAAACTCAAATTTAACTAAAAACAAAATTGAAATACTCACTATTACGTCAGTAGGCATTTCTGGACCCTGGGAAAAAAACTGGTCCTCGATGTTGCAAAACCGCCAGATAATGATTACGAACAGAAAGTGTGGATACTCGGTGTTCTGTACATACATTTATTAACGACATAAAATTCATGCAAAAACGTTTTTAATGATGGCGCGGTTATTATTGGGGCGCCTGGGCTTTGTAGAACTCGTCGACCTCGGTGTCCCAGAGGCGGCCGCCCTTCTCCAGCATATCCTGCACCCCTTCTCCCTAAATTTCGGTGAAATTCGGGATGATAAGCCCCACATCCGGTACGAAGGCGATCAGACTGCACTCCAGGTCCTCGCTCACCTTCAGCACGCAGCCAGCATTTCGGTACTAAAATAGTTTTGGTACTGGACTGTCAGCGGGGCGGGGGTTAATTACTTTTTATTTTTCGTGCCTGTACCTAACGCTTAATAAATTTTAGATTTTTATCGCTAAATCACCGTCCCCCGATAACCTGGAAGCACCAAACGGTGCACAACGCCACCTATCAATATTGAGACCCTACAGGGCGATAGCTGGAAGGTCGGCCCCGGGCTATCAGCCCAGGATCCTTGCTCCGCACCTGTGCGCAATAGCCGGGCGCCGAGAAGATGGTCAGGATCAGCCGCTTGCACTCGAGCGCGTAGCCCTCCAGGCACATTTGGTGGCCCCGCACGATCAGCTCGACGCCCAGACGGTCCAGCGCTTCTTCCAGCACGTCTTGGCCAAACTTGAAGCCGCTGCCACGCTTGCTGCCTCGCCAGTGGTTGAATGGCTCTTTGTCCGGGTCCGCCCACATCAGATCGTTGGCCAGGCCGCGTGCCGGGTTTTTGAAGGGTTTCTGAATATCTTCCATTTTTAGGGCATAAAAATGCGTTTACCTTCAACTGGCGCAAATCGTCGAGACCGCTCAGCTCGGGCGAGATCCCCCCATGCATGCACAAAATCTTGCCGTCGATGAGGGCGCACAACGATAACAGGTTGAACGTGCGCTGAAAGAGGGTATGAAGGGAAAAGCACGCACACTGACCTGGAATTCCTTCCAGACCTCGATGCCGTAGTTGGGATCGCTGGGGATGAGTCGTCGACAGGAATGGAGGAATCCGTAGGTGTTGTTGATTCTGGCCAGCTCGTGGTTGCCGCGTAGCAGGAAGACGTGCTCTGGGTAGTGGATCTGGAATTTGCAGGCTACTATAGGTGAGAATGAGCGCGAAAACTGGGCTCAAGTCTAGGAAACCCCCCCCCAGCCGACTTTTCCACTTTTTTACCTTCCTTATTTTTATTTTTCGCTACTTTTTTCGACTCAACTGCAATGTAGTCTTACTAATTAGCCTACGGCGAACATTTTGGTATACTCTTAGA